GCCACGGCGACCAGCGTGCGGTTGGTGACGCGCGCGCAGTTCTCCAGGCGCAGCGCGCGCAGGCGCGGGCAGCAGCGCAGCAGGCGCGCCAGGCAGTCGTCGGTGACGTGGCCGCAGCCCGACAGCGTGACGGACGTCAGGTTGGGGCACCTGCGGGGAGAGCGCGGTGACCCGGCCGCCCTGGGGAGCAGTCCCTTGCTCTCCGCGCCCCGGCACCGCCTTACACCCGCGTCTGCGCAGCGGCCCGGGCCAGGGTTGGCGGCCCTGCCTGCCCGCACGGGGGCGTGGGGACGCGGTTCCCGAAGGCACAGCTCCAGTTTCCGGCCCGCCCTGCACGTGCTGCCTCGGCTGCGCGCGGGGACCGCGTGGCCAGAGCGGTGTCCTCGGCTTCAGCCCGGCTGGCTGGGCTTGGTTCGTGGCTCCTCTGGGCCACCCGCGTGGAGAGGTCTGGAACCCAAGGCCACTGGAAGCAGGCGGGGCGGGGGCAGCGAGGGACGCTCAGCCGGCACCTTGAGCAGTTCGATCTGCTTGGCAGAGGGGCGTGACCGTGTCCCCGCCGGGCCTGCAGCGGGGCCCCGGGGGCCGCGGGATCCGCGCTCCTGGAACAGCCCCGCGGCGTCAGGGCCTGTGGACGGGCCGAGTCTGCCCTGGAATGGAGCCCCAGCGCCCTCGGCCTCCCCTGGCTCCTTGGCTGCCCTGTCTGGGCAGAGCAGCGTGGCCGAGCCGGAGAAGGACAGAGGGAGTGCGATACAGTGGGCATGGCCGCGGCTCGCACACAGCCCTGCCCTCCTCCCGTCCGCGAGCGCCCCCCGCTGCTCGCTCGTTCGTGGGGGAGACATGGCCGAGAGGTGCTGGGGCTGGGTGTTGGATCCAAGGTCTTCGCACTGATCTACATCTCCAGCCCCGCTTTTATTCTTTAGACAGGGCCTTGCTCAGTCACTCAAGTGCCTGGATTGCGCTCGAACTTGCGCTGCTGCTGCCCCTACCTGGCTCTGCGGGGACTGTGTGCGCCCTGACTCAGGTGAAATATCTGAATCCTTCTGGGCCATTTCCTCGTCTGTCCAGCGGGGGAAATGGTTACCTTCAGAGTAGTTGTGAGGATGACGGGATGTGTGGCCCCTTCCCCTAGGAGCCTTTAGAATAATTCTGAGGCCAGATCAGCCGTGGCTCCTGACCTCCGACCCTCCCGCTCTGAGATAAGAGCTTATCCCATTTCACAGAGGAGGAGAGGAGGCGGAGAGCCGAACAGTTGACACTGTTGGTCAGGGGCTGGGGCCTCAAAGCCCTTGGCTCCTGTAGTGATGCCCCGGCCCCCCAACTTAACCTCGCGGGCTGGGGAGTCAACCCTGGTTCTTCTACAGTTAGAACAGGCTGGCTCCTTCCGTCGGAATTCTGAGCCTGTGACACCTACTGAAAGGGCCCGGCCTAGTCTGGGCCCCAAGGAGGAAGAACCAGCCAGCAAAGCTCCATTGTTTCCTCCCGGGCCTGTCACGGGCCCCCCGGCAAACAGTAGCTGTTACTCTTGGGGGGCAGTGGCCAGCGCTGTGTCAGCCATGGGTGCGTGTTCCCCACGGCAGCAGGCCTAGCGCCCGCTGTGATCACAGAGGCAGCCGGCCGGGGGCACATCCTGTGCCGGATGACGTTAAGAGCTCACGCTAGCGTTAGGCTGATTGTTGCATGGGGGACCTGTCCCTGGGGCCTGGCCTTGAAAAGCAGGCCCAGCTGGATGGGCCTGCCCAGTGTGTAGTCTCTGCCAGGGAGTACAGCTGTCCACAGGGCAGGGACAGCTGGTGTCCCGGCTCCAGGACTGAGGCTGGGAGAGGGGTCAGCAGTTGTCTCCGAGAGATTTTACCCATCTCCTGGGCATCTGACTTGGGCCCCGTCTGAGGCTCCCTGAGCCATCCTGGTCCTGTAGTTTGCCCTGCCGTGTCCCCCCTCGAGCCCCGGCCTGCGAGGCAAGGGGGCCTACCTGTCGCACACCTGGAGGAGGAAATCGCTGACCAGGCTCTCATGCCTGCTGCAGAGGCTCCTTTGGAGGGCGCTCTTGAGCCAGTCCTCGACGCTGCACACCTGCACGCGGCTGGAGTGCCAGCAGATGGACAGGCTGCGCAGCGCGGGGCCCAGCCGGAAGTTATCCTTCCTGAGCTCCGTGAGGGAGCGGAAGTGCAGTAGGGGCCAGAGCGCGGGGTCTTCAAACACAGCGTGCAGCTGGGAGCAGGTCGCGGCCAGGCTCTTCCTGCTGTCCTTGTCCAGGAAGGAGAAGAGGTGCAGCAGGCACTCGCGGTTGAGCTGGGTGATGTGCATGCTGGGCGGTGGCCACGCCGAGTGAGCCCGCGGCGCTGACCTGCCTGTCTCCTCCCGGCTCGGCCGGTGGACATATATGGTTGAGGAATGGTGTTTATTTTTGGCCAACAACTGGTGCTGAAGCGGGGACGACAGGCCAGGCTGTAGACAGACGCGGCAGTCTGGCGGGGCTCGTGTGCAGAGAGGGGCTGAAAGCCTGCCTGGCGGGAAGCCGCCCTGGAAGAGACGGGGCTTCCTGAGGGGCCGTGTGCCTGGAGCGGGCTTCGCCCCTCCGAGGGCCCTGTGCTGCGCGGGCCCGGCGCCGAGCTGTAGCTGCGGCGGGCTCTCGCTTGGCCTTGGCTGCGCCGCCTTCCAGCCCCGCTGCCCTCGGCGGGCCAAGTGATTTCCTTGGCCCCCGGGACCGCGCTGGTTTGCCCCGCAGTGGCTCCATGGGAGCGCGCGCTAAGCGGCGGATCCGCCCCAGCTTGCCTGTGTGCGCGCCCTACGGCCCGCGCGTCCTTGGCCCGCTGGCCCCGACCTCCCCAGGTGGCCGCACGGCGAGGGCGCCGCTCGTCCCCGCGAAGCGCAGC